AAAGAAAAAGAAAAAGAAATAGGAAAAGAGAAAAAAGGAAGAAAAGGATGAAAGGAAAAAAAAAAGAAAGAATATTGCAGTATGGCGAAGCGTGATTGGTTGAAAGGCAATTTGTATTCATACATTCTGTACTAGTAATAGTAGTAGTAGTAGTAGTAATAGTAGTAGGTAGGCAGGTAGGTAGGTAAGTTGGTGAGTAGGTAGGTAGGTAGGTAGGTAGCTAGGTAGGTAAGTTGGTAGAAGCATAGGACATGAGGGTGCCGCGATTGGCATAGATTTTATTACTCGATGAATCGATACATATACATGAGTCGAGACGGTATTCAACGACTGTATAGCAAGGATTGACGTACAGACGTTATCGATCGATTCGATCCTACTAGGTTGCTCGTCTACCACCATTTTCCAATAGTCCTTTTCACGCCTACGTTCTTGACGTTCGTGCGTTCATTCTCGTTCGTCGTCATAGTCGCCGTTGTAGTCGTCGTCCTCGTCGTCCTAGTCCTTTATCCTTCGTCGAGGACGATCAAGTAGGTTCGATAAGGGCTCGCGTTCGAACTCGTTTCAAAGATGATTATAAAATCGACGAGAAATTTTCTAAGGTAAAATGTTCTACATTTTCCTAACTATTATCACTTTCATCGAGCCGTCATCATTGACATTTCATCGTGACAAGAACAATTTAGCAACCACTTTTTTCAACTACTTTCAAATCTAGATGCGTAACCGACCGACGACAATTATTCTCGTGCGTTGAGCTCTCCCAAAGGGAGGAAAAAGGACGGGGAGGGTGGGTTGGAGGGAGATTGGGGGAGGATCAGACTGTCGCTCGCTAAATTTAATAGAAAACTCCCGGCGCGAAAAGCCGAAATTCGAGGGACGTTCTCTCGCCCTCGTGTCGACTCTCTCTCTCTCTCTCTCTCTCTCTCTCTCTCTCTGATGCTTACAAAAGCTGCTGCTGCGAGCTTTAGCCTGGTACGAAGAGATACGCGTTGGAATAAGCGCATAGAATTCTCCTACACGCTACGTACTATGTGCACCGAAATATCGATCTCTTTCTCTCTCCCTCCCTCTCTTTCTCATAGTCTCTTTCCTTCTCCCTATCTCTCTCTCTCTCTCTTCATCTCTCTGTCTTTATTGCAGCAACTAAGCTTGTGCGTGTAAGGTTGCTGCCATAAGTGGAATCGTCGGAGAACGTAGACGGAATGTGCTTTAAAAGGTCGACTACGCGTTCGTCGCTTATCCCTCGACGACCAATACAATGATACTAATACTTTCTAAGAGAGAATATTGTTTTAAAGTGATCTTGTCGTCGTTGAAATTCGCAATTGTAATTAACTAAATTCTTTGTCTCTCTCTCTCTCTCTCTCTCTCTCTCTCTCTCTCTCTCTCTCTCTCTGCCTCTTTCTCTATCTACCTATTTATTTCTATCTCTGTCTGTTCTTTCTTTCTTCCTTCCTGTTTTTTCTCATAGTTAGGAAACAATGGAAATAAAAAGTATGCGAGTACGTGTGTCGACGAGGCGAAGGTTAATATCGGCCTTTTACGTATGTACGTACATGGATATTTACATACGTACGTAAGTTAACAAAGGATTAAAAGTGAATTTGAAATTATGAAGTTGATGAAAAGTTGACGGTTAACTGTGTCAAGTCAATGGAAGGTGGTTGTTCCGGTTGGTCGAGTCTTCGATTTAACCTTCGGAATGTCCACTCGTGCGATACTCCAGGGGCCAATGTGTTAAGTGGGTATCGAGTAGAAAAATATAACGGAGAGGGTCCAAGAATATATAACCTCTCGAGATTCAGAGTTTATTTCTAGACGAGTAATGGAACAATCTACTCCTACTACTCTACGTTCTTTTCGATTCAATTCGTATTAGAGAAACGAATGTAAATTTTTAAACGATATTTCAATCATATTTATCAAGACTTATTTATCTCTCCCTTAGGAATATCTCCATTATCGTCGATAGATGGACAGATAAATAGATAACGTATGACTAATTGAAAACTGAATGTTCTAACGAAAAGCTCAATCCTGCTATGCGAGTGGTCACCATTCGTGTTGCCACGCTTAATTGCTCGCTCAATGATTTATTCGTGAAGTAGTAATAACAGCTAGCTAGCTAGCTAGCTAGCTAGCTATTGTATACAGGATTTATCAATAACGCGTAACGCGTAGCAAGATCGGAACACCTAATCGAGCAACGAACAAACCAAATCCCCACGTATGTATATATATATGTGTGTATGTGTATACACATACATACATACATACATAAGATAACTATATATATATATATATATATATAGTTATCTTTCCACACGTGCGATTCGGGCAAAGCCGCTACTATCTAATTCATAGTCAAATTATATACGACTCTCGAAGGGTCATCGTTAAGAGGAATAAGGACAGAGGCAATGGCACCAACAACGACAGCACCACCATCACTACTACCATCACCACCACCATCATCATCATCATCATCATCATCACTAGCACCATCACCACAACAGAGAGGGAATCCACGAGAACGAAGAGAATTTCACATTGCGGTTAATGGAACAGAATTTCATATAACCATTGAACATAACCGCATCGTATATACATACATACACGGATACCTATTACCTTTCCACGCCGATGATGTTCAATCTCATATTTATATAATGTGTATAATTTGAAAAGGATAATATTTGGACATTGAGTAATATTAGAAATTTTTTATATTAATTTGAAATTTTTCAATGTATGTTTTTTCTTTCTTTTGTTTTTCTATCTTATTTTTTTTTTTGTTTCTTCTTCTTCTTCTTCTTTTTTTTCGTTCTGTTTTGTTTTCGTAATTTTATTGATACAAATTTCTGCGAAAAATTTTATACCTTTCCCAAATGGTGCGTCGAGTACACTCACTTCCTTCGTATACGTATAATATATATATATATATATATATATATATATATATATATATATGTATACATATGTATATTATACAGCTATGAAAATGAAAAAAATTTCACGATCAAATCCACCTCGATTGATTAATTTTCTTTCTCGATCGACGAGGACCTTCGACGCGTAACTTCGCTGCCATTGAAGCTTACTTTTGTCGAGGCGAGGATCATATTTTTACTTTTTATACTAAAATCGTGAGTATCGAGTGTTATTAGAGTGTTAGTATTCTTCCTTACTACTTATTTATTATATAAATAAATTTTTGCGTTCACCGTCAAACATATATATATATATAATATATTATATTATATGCACGTGGATATACATACCATGTGTATAATTCGTGACGAAACGTGGTATGGGACACGTTCTGGTAACTATTATCGAAACAATGTGATAGAAAATTTACTCGATCCTCACGTAGACAAGAGGAATATTAATAAAATGTTTGCTGCGCAAAAGGAAGGCAAAAAATCGTCTCGAGATCCACTATCGCGAATGAATAGTGTAACTCGTCAGGGATATAAATCGATGGAAAAAGTAAAAAACGGAATTATCCAGACGGCCAATAAAATCACACCGCAAGTCCAACAATTATATATCATATATGTATATCTACATATATGTATATATATATGTATCTATATATATATATATATATATATATATATATATATATATCACACGAGTTACGGCCAAAGAGCAGCAGCATCGCACGAAATTACGATCCGTAATAATTATAAACAACGTGAAGAGAAGGCATTCTCAACGACTCAACGAAAAGGAGCAGGAAACGCTGAAAGAAAACTACGAGGAACAAAAAAATGAAGGAAACAATCAATCTGGAACATAATATATCTGCGTGTATATACACACACACACATATATATATACATATATATATATATATACATATGTAGTATACACTATGGTGTGTAAGTATAATATATATATATATATACATATACACACATATATATATATATATACACATGTATCTCGAGCGAACAAAAGTTGGAACGAATCTGCGATCGTGCTGCCGCTGGAATATCGTGGCACCTTGAAACCGTCATAGGTCCAGGAGCCTAACTTCAAAACACAGGTCTGTACGTCGTACGGAAAGAACTCAACGTCGATGGAGCAGGAGGACTTATAAACAGCCGGCGGTTGCCAGACGACCAATCCTGAATAGTAGACCGTAGCCTTGGTCATCAGTGTCACCTCGTAGTTCCCGTCGGCGCTGGAATCACCGAAGAAACGTGCCGAGCGTGATCACGATCGGCTCTCGTGCGACAAGAAGAAGAAGAAGAAGAGGAGAAGGAAGAGGAAGAAGAAGAAGTAGAAATAGAAGAAGAAGAAGAAGAAAAAGAGGAAAATGATGATGATGATGATGATGATGATGATGATGATGATGATGATGATGATGATGTTGATGATGACGGAAGAAGAAGAGAAAGATCTAAAGATAAGTATATATAAAGCAAAAAAGAAAAACCAAAAAAGAAAAAGACAAAAAAAAAGATTATCTTCTTCTTTTTCTTTCGCACTGATTTCGTCTGCTCGAACCGATCGTTCCATACTCCGCTAACAATCTATATAATCCGAGGATTAATATCTAAACGTATCTTATGATCTAATAGAAGCCGCGTTTACCGACTGAGAAATCGATCCTTTATTAGGTGGAAGAAAAAGAAAAGCTTTTGTGAAAGTAAGCACGCTTATAAAATTCCTTTTCTATCCTCCCGTCAAAAGATTCGATCTCTCTCTTTTCTCTCCATCTATATTTCGTTTATATCTCTTATTATCGTTGATCTTCCTTTGCTCTCTAGAATTAAGAGAGAGCAACACAGCGACGGGGTGTTTGCTTTCGCTAAAAAATGGGGGGGGGTTCTCGCTCGTGGGTTGTTTTTTTTTTTTTAATAGCGAGGGGTATGGGGCGCGTGGGCCGAGGGGGCTTGTTTACGGGGCTTGGGGGGGGGGGGTTGGTGTTGTTATTTTTGTCTTTTTTTTTTTTTTTGGCTTAACGGCTACCATGCGAGTGTTACCTTGAAGCCGTCATAGGTCCACGAACCGAACTTGAGGACGCAGGTCTGCTCGTCGAATGGGAAGTACTCCACGTCGATCTCGCAGGATGACTTATAAATGGCCGGGGGCTTCCACTCGACCAATCCTTGATGGTAGATGGTGGCCTTCGTGGCCAAGGTCACCTCGAAGTTGCCGTCCGCGCTGCGAGCGAGCACATTAGTGGTTCTGGGCGCTGCGGCGGTCGAGCTTACTTTGTACTTCCGATTCGATACCAAGCCGTCTTTTGTATTTTTTTTTTGTATTTTGTATTTTGTTTTTGTTTTGTTTTGTTTTGTTTTTGATTCTTATTTTGTTATTATTACTATTATTATTATTTTTTTTTTTCAATTATTTTTGTTTGAATTTTTCTTTGAATCTTTACTTATTGATTTATATACATTTATATATATATATATATATATATATATATATATATATATATGTAAATGTATATATGTATTTTTTTCCTTTCCTTTATTATTATTATTATTATTACTATTATTATTATTATTATTATTATTATTATTATTATTATTATTATTATTATTATTATTATTATTGTTGTTATTATATAAATTTTTCATTCCTTTCTCTCCCTCTCTCTCTCTCTCTCTCTTTCTCTCTCACTCTCTCATACACCGTACCTTCACCCCTTGTGTGTTCTGTTCTCTTTTCGTTTAGAGTTCTTTCAATGAGTGTTCTTGAACAACAGAGCACACGCCACCCTTAACTTTTGTTCGATGTTACGCGCGTTTATCGGGGACTTTCGAACGAGATCTTTCTTTTCGACTTTTTTTATATACGACGAATATGAATGTTTCTTTTTCTTTCCCTCTCTCTCTTTCTCTCTTTCTCTCTCTCTCTCTCTCTCTCTCTCTCTCTCTCTCTCTCTTTCTCTTTCTCTCTCCTCGAGTCGGCGAAAAAATTTACAAATTTACGACGTGAACGAATAATCGAATAATCGAAACGAGCGATCGGAGTCGAGATGAAACACTTATTAATATATAATATATTATATATCACAATATATCATTCGCACTAAGGCTCTTGTTTCGATCGAGAAAAATTATAAAAAGAAAAAAAAAGAAGAAACAAAAATAAAAATAAAGAAACGATATTTTATTGATCGAAAAATAATTTTCATGTTAATCAAAGTGAATCGTTATATCAATTTGTCGAGTAAATGTATGTATGATCCTGTTTATTAACTTTTAACGTCATTATACTATAGATAGATATTAATCGTTTTCCCATTTAAAGTCTCGTATAGGAAGAAACCGAAGAGAAATTTCGACTTTAGAATTTCCTTGGATGTATATTAGCAAGAGAATAGAGAAGGAACATAATGGTTCATCAAATATTTATCATAGACGGGCGCGTATTCGGTTAACACGTTTAATTCTCATGGGTGAAATGTCTCAGATTATGGTGCTTAAATGTAAGTACCGAGTTTGTTCATTGTTGAATTTCAATCGTTAATCCAAAGGCTAATAATCGCGTAATTAAACGTATGAATACATTGATGGATTTCGATCGAACAGGGAATGGAGGAAGCATAATAAAGGGAGATGAGGGAATGGGGATTAAAGAAAAAAGAATGATAATTATAAATTATTATCGATGGAAATTGATTGGAGAATTTATACGATACGTGTTATGTACGTACATAAATACATACATATTATCGTTGTGCTATTTCGAAATGGCAGATAATGTTGATTATTTATTTTCACGATTAAAATTTTACGTTTACCTATCTATGTATATAGAGGTACAATATAGAGCAAAAAGGAAGACTCATGAAATAATCGACTAGTACGAAGTATCGAGAGAAATGAAATGAAAAATTGCTCTCCCCTGTCTGCTTCTCTCTCTCTCTCTCTCTCTATTATTTTTTTTTTTCAATTCATCTCGCTCTCTCCAAGCGACGAAGGTCTTCTATTATCGTTCGCGAAGGCCCGGTCCATCGATATTTCACTCGGGAATCGAAACAGTGGCATTATCGTCGTTCCGCGTCTACCACATTTACCCTTTCCATTTCCGTTTTAGATGAAACAATGTGTTCGACAAAAGGAAAGTAGAAATCTGTCTATCGATAAAAATAGAGTGAGAAGCTAGCGAGTCTTTGTCTGATAATTTCTTTTCATTTTTTTTTTTTTTTTTTTTATTTTTTCTTTCTAATTGAAATATACCAGAGACTTCCTTGATAAATAATCATCGAGATTGACTTTAATTATATCTTTTATAAAAATGCGAATAAAGTTCTTTTTTTTTAAAGATGAAAAATTTTTTTCTTCTTGTTTTTTTTATTCTTTTTTTTTCTTTTTTTTTTTTTTTTTTTTTTTTTTTTTTTTGAAAACTCGACGATACATTTAGACTTTTTCCTCCTCCATATATATATATATATATATATATATATATATAAATGATATCGCTTTTAAAGCTTCGGAGCAATCGGAGATTAAAAAAGATGGAAACTATTGGCAAGGAGTGGTGGATTCTCGCAGAAGTCGTTTTCATCAGCAGTCTGAACTTCAATTCCACTTAACCACCGAGACCCCACTCTTTTGCTCCTTTTATTTCTCTTATTTCTATATCTCTTTCTTCCTATTCTCTTTTCTTTATTTCTCTCTTTTCGTTTTTGCTCTTTTTTCCTTTCTCCTAACCAACCCCAACCCCCCACCCCCCCTTACCTCACCCCATTCAACTCCCTTTGCCTTCGGGTCTTTTTAATCCCTTTTTTCTCGAAACGTTCGAAAATGTTAACTAAATACGAATGTCGATTGAACATAAAAATTGCAAATTATCGCTAATTAGCTTTTATCATCGTGAACACGAAATATAATAATAATAATAATAACAATAATAATAATAATAATAATACCGAGTTAATATGATAATAGATGCAGAGAGGATAGTAGCTCTTATTTCGTTTAATATTAATAATCGTGACTAATAGGAGGATAACAAGGATGGACAATCATTGTTAAATCCAATTGATTGTCACGGAGATTAAAACAATTTTGAACATTGGTTGTAGTTCTAGTCGGTGATTATTCCAAGAGCTGATTATTTTGATCGATCCAATGCCTTGTTAAATACATATATACACACACATATATAGATATACACATATATATATATATATTTACATATATATAAATACATATGTACATACATATACATAGGGATACATAAATACATAAGTATGTTGTACCCGCATAGAGATACGTAATTCTACATATGTTAGTGAAAATCGTATTTATCCGGCGTCTATGTAAAACTGGATCGCAAACTCGATAATATCGAGTTACTTTCAAAGAGATGAGGTTAACTTCCTTTTTGTATTTTGAGAATCCTCTTTCCTGCTAGAAGAATATGGTACGTAGAAGTAAAGCAAAAAATAATAGACAAAAGATATGAGAGAAGTTCTCACGTAAATGGACAAAGTTCTCGTAACGATATTCTTATTTTATCCGACGCATCTTCCTGGTCTTGCGGCTTGGTTTGGGTTTATCAAAGACGAAAGATAATACGGCCAATCGAGATAAGAATTTAAGATAGGATAAATAGATGAGAGGAAGAAGAAGAAGAAGAAGAAGAAGGAAAAAAAAAAGAAAACAAAAACTAGGAAAGAAAAAAAAGAAAAGAAATTGTCCAATTTTTGAATTTGAACATAGTATATTATTTGAACATAGCTGTATAATCGGAGGGAAGAAATTTTTGTTATACGTTGTAACTTCGAAGAATCGAAATTTCCGTCATCCACGAAAGGTTTTCTATCGATAAAAAGAGACTCAATTTATAGAAGCACCATCTTCGAACAACGATACGATGTCTTACGATCGGTTCGAAGATTGGCTGTTTCACGCTTGTTCCCTAGAGAAAATAGACAAGTCGTAACCCTGGAACCTAAGAGAATTGGAAACTCCTAGCAATTTTCTAATAGAAATAGTATATACTCCCTTCGAAATAGAGAAAATTACAATCAAATGTGTTTCGATATGTATGAGGTGAATGTAAAATTTCGATTGATAGAAACCTATGTTAATTAGAATAGAAAGCAATATATATGTCAAGATAATTGGGAGGATAGGATACGTGATCTCGTTTTAAATTCGTATCCTACGTCGATGGGATTTCGACGAAACTTCATTATAAACTGTGTAACAGTAATTACGATCGATTTCATTCGTAATGAATGTTTGTTCGTATTTGATTGAAGAAAAAAAAAGAAAAAAAAAGAAAAAAGAAAGGTAGGAAAGAATATATAAAAGTAGACAAAATAGAAAGTAAAAAAAGGTAAAAAACAAATAATAATAATAATAATAAAAAAAAAAATAAATAAATAAATAAATAAAAAGAATAAAAAAATAAAAAAAAAAGAAAAATGAAAAGAAAAAGAAAAATAGATTGGCTTGAAAGGATAGAAAGGGTTTGAAAAATTAAAAGTTCCTACGATGAGTTTCATTAATTAAAGAAATTTTTTTCCGATCGATCTAGAAAAAAGAAAAAGAAGGAAAGGCAAAGAATGCGAAAGGAAATGCCGAAGAAATTCAATTGCATCTCTCTTCTTTCTTTCTCTCACATTCTCCCACTCTCTCTCTCTCTCTCTCTCTCTCCTCTCTCTTTCTCGATTTGCAATGTCATCGTGAGAGATTACAGAATTTAAGGGAGGTCGTATACCTCTCTTTCGTTCTCTCTCTCTCTTTCTCTCTATCTATCTATCTATCTCACTGCCCTTTCGAAGTGCGTCATTATTTAAAGTTCGGACTTTTTAAAAAAGCAATTAAATCGCCCTGTCATCCGCGGCCGTTGCCATTTGATAAACGAGCTTCGTGCTAACGGAATCTCTGACTTTTTCTCTTGCGGAAAAGTTTCCATTTTCTTCTTCTTTTTTCCTTTTTATTATATTTCTTTTTTATTTCAATTTTGTTTTCTTTTATTTCTTTCTTTTTTCTTTTTTCTTTTTTTTTTTTTTTGGCGGAGTCGAAAGATGGGGAGGATGTCATCAGAATAGAAAGACGATTTGTATAGGACTTTGAATTATTTCTCTTTCTCTCTCTCTCTCTCTCTCTCTTCCTTTCTTTATCTTTGTTTCTCTCAATATATAGTATATTATAAATTCGTTCGCAAACCTCATTAGGATCGTTCCCGTTGTC